CCCCGCGGGCCGCCCCCCCCCCCCCCGCCGTGCCAGGCCCGGCTCTTCCCCGGCCGCCCCTTGCCTGCCTGGCTGCGCTCCCAGGACAAAACATGTCACCTGCTCTCTCCAGCCTGCCCCGAGTCCTCTGTCCCGCTGCCCCCTGCACCGCAGCCGGTGTCCTGCTCACTCTCTGGCCTCTCTGGTGCTCTCGGTATTTAGCACCCTCGGCATCCGCGCCGCTTCGGCCTGTCCGCCCCAGCCAGCTGGCGTCTGCACGCAGCCCTCTCCCGCGCAATCCAGTTCTCAGCGTCTCTCCGTCTTCCCCTCATCCCTTCCATTCATGCACATTTTTCGGTGTGCGTCACCCCATGTGTGAACGTGCACCGCCCGGCCGAACGAAACCTGGCTGTGGCTGCTCTGGTCATCAGCTGGGTGGCGTCGGGATCTCCCCTGAACAGCTGCACAAGTGCACAACTTACAGGGAACACTGCTATCTGCCCCCCGCCGCACACACCTTATCCCGCTCTCTCCCCCATACACTCCCTATCTATCTATCTATCTATCTATCCCCACCCACTCTATCTATCTATCTATCTATCTATCCCCACCCACTCTATCTATCTATCTATCTATCTATCCCCACCCACTCTATCTATCTATCTATCTATCTATCCCCACCCACTCTATCTATCTATCTATCTATCTATCCCCACCCACTCTATCTATCTATCTATCTATCTATCCCCACCCACTCTATCTATCTATCTATCTATCTATCCCCACCCACTCTATCTATCTATCTATCTATCTATCCCCACCCACTCTATCTATCTATCTATCTATCTATCCCCACCCACTCTATCTATCTATCTATCTATCTATCCCCACCCACTCTATCTATCTATCTATCTATCTATCCCCACCCACTCTATCTATCTATCTATCTATCTATCCCCACCCACTCTATCTATCTATCTATCTATCTATCCCCACCCACTCTATCTATCTATCTATCTATCTATCCCCACCCACTCTATCTATCTATCTATCTATCTATCCCCACCCACTCTATCTATCTATCTATCTATCTATCCCCACCCACTCTATCTATCTATCTATCTATCTATCCCCACCCACTCTATCTATCTATCTATCTATCTATCCCCACCCACTCTATCTATCTATCTATCTATCTATCCCCACCCACTCTATCTATCTATCTATCTATCTATCCCCACCCACTCTATCTATCTATCTATCTATCTATCCCCACCCACTCTATCTATCTATCTATCTATCTATCCCCACCCACTCTATCTATCTATCTATCTATCTATCCCCACCCACTCTATCTATCTATCTATCTATCTATCCCCACCCACTCTATCTATCTATCTATCTATCTATCCCCACCCACTCTATCTATCTATCTATCTATCTATCCCCACCCACTCTATCTATCTATCTATCTATCTATCCCCACCCACTCTATCTATCTATCTATCTATCTATCCCCACCCACTCTATCTATCTATCTATCTATCTATCCCCACCCACTCTATCTATCTATCTATCTATCTATCCCCACCCACTCTATCTATCTATCTATCTATCTATCCCCACCCACTCTATCTATCTATCTATCTATCTATCCCCACCCACTCTATCTATCTATCTATCTATCTATCCCCACCCACTCTATCTATCTATCTATCTATCTATCCCCACCCACTCTATCTATCTATCTATCTATCTATCCCCACCCACTCTATCTATCTATCTATCTATCTATCCCCACTCCTGTGTGTCACTTGCTCTGTTTAATCCACATGTTCCATCTCTGAATTTTTCACTACACCCAGAGGTTATTTTCCTCTGCAACTTTGGGCCCCCCGTCATCCTGGGTGCCATACAAAGCCCCCACCCCCGCCCCGCCGACTAAAATCGGGATCCTTGTGGTGCTGGGCACTGCACTTCCCCTCCCCCCCCGAACAAGGTCCCGGTCCCAATGGATGCTGCATAGAGCCTGAGCCTGCCTGAGGTCAGGGCCCTTTTGTGCCAGGCGCGGAACGGACGAAGGCAGGTGCGTCTCCCAGCTGTGCAGATGGGGGAAGTCGACTGGCTCGGGGCCCCAGAGCTGGCGTGGAACCAGGAGTTGGGGGCTGAATTATTCTCTCTCCGCTACGACATGTCATTCCCAATGTGTCTTTTTTTTTCCCCAGATGGAAACGGCTCCCCCCGCTGTTGGCAAGGAAGGAACCTACAAATTCAAGTTCACTTGAAGTAAGTTCACTTGAAGTAAGCGGCTTCTGGGAAAACGTCTAATACTAAGATTTCCTAACCAAGCTTGGGCCTACGGTTGCTGCCCAGATCCCCCCCCCATTGAGTCCAGCTGTCCCCCCTCTGGCTGCCCCAACCTAGTGGTGGTGCATCTCGGTGCCAGGCAGACCTTCCCTGTGTGCTGTTATGTGTGGATGTTTGCCTGTTGCTCCACCCCAGAGTCAGCTGCATCCTAGTGCCAACTTTTCTCTGAGCCTCTTTTTTTCTCATCCCCAGGTGTCTGTTAAGGCAGGAAGATGCTGTGGAAAGCTCTGCTGAGGACGGAGCTGGGGGGAGCGGGGAACTGGACTGCCTCCATGCACCGGTTCCTGTCCCCTACCCTCCGGTACCGGTCCACTTCTGTCATGGATAACCACCAAGTGGAGCTGGCCCGAGAGCGATCCAAGACCGTCACCTCCTTCTACAATCAGTCGGCCATCGATGTTGCAGCAGAGAAGGTGACGCAAGCAGCCTTTTCCCTCCCAGAAGGGGCATCCAGTGCTTAGAGGGAAACTGAGGCAAATGGTGCTAGGGGGTGCTGTGTTGCAAGGAACTGCCCTGGGGCTCGTTAACCCTGGGATCCTGGCTATAGTCAACCTCTGGGGACTCCCCTGTACTCTCCCAAATTCCTGTCTGCTGTTTCAACTGGACTCAAGATTCCTTTTCGCTTCCTGTCCCAAAGTGCCGTGCAGCACGTGTGTTAGCCAGCTGCTGTGCCCTGCCCCAGAGTCAGCTGCATCTCAGCGCCCCTCCCGCTATAGCCTTGCAGTGTAGCTATTCCCAGCTGCTGCGCCCCAGAGCTGGTCGCATCTCTGCACCGGGCGACCCGTTTCTTATCTGTTCTTCTATTGCCTCTCACATCCCCACGCTGACGCAGCTGCTGTCCAGCCGGATTCATTCCCTGCTCCAAGGGACGGAAAGCAGGGGAAGCTGGCTCCGTTGTGTTACCCAGGAAGGGTGAAGGGCACGGGGAACAGCACGGTCCCAGGACGGAGGTCGTGGGCAGGAGGCAGTGCACCGGGCGACCCGTTTCTTATCTGTTCTTCTATTGCCTCTCACATCCCCACGCTGACGCAGCTGCTGTCCAGCCGGATTCATTCCCTGCTCCAAGGGACGGAAAGCAGGGGAAGCTGGCTCCGTTGTGTTACCCAGGAAGGGTGAAGGGCACGGGGAACAGCACGGTCCCAGGACGGAGGTCGTGGGCAGGAGGCAGTGATAAGTAGCTAAATATTTACTCAGAGAAACCAGCCAGCGGTGCTGAAGAATTGGCCCTGGCCCACGCGAGAGGAGAGTTAAATATTAATTTCCGCTGCTCGCTGCGTAGGAAGATGCTGGCACCCGACACTGTTCTGCGGCAGGCGTGGGCGTGGGTTGGTTGCCCAAGAGGGGTTGATGTGGGCTTAGTGAAATAGACTGAAGATAATAATTTAGGGGCCTTTCTCTTCTATGGGGCTCTGGCTCTGATCTGGTCCCAGAGCAGGGACTGGCTGGATTAGAGGGACAGGAAATCACAGAACACTAGAACTGGAAGGGACCTCGAGAGGTCATCGAGTGCAGTCCCCTGCCCCCATGGCAGGACCAACCATCGTCTAGGGTGGGGGGCAGGAGCCAGTGATAAGTAGCTAAATATTTACTCAGAGAAACCAGCCAGCGGTGCTGAAGAATTGGCCCTGGCCCACGCGAGAGGAGAGTTAAATATTAATTTCCGCTGCTCGCTGCGTAGGAAGATGCTGGCACCCGACACTGTTCTGCGGCAGGCGTGGGCGTGGGTTGGTTGCCCAAGAGGGGTTGATGTGGGCTTAGTGAAATAGACTGAAGATAATAATTTAGGGGCCTTTCTCTTCTATGGGGCTCTGGCTCTGATCTGGTCCCAGAGCAGGGACTGGCTGGATTAGAGGGACAGACACTAGAACTGGAAGGGCCCTCGAGAGGTCATCGAGTGCAGTCCCCTGCCCCCATGGCAGGACCAACCATCGTCTAGACCATCCCTGACCGGTGTCTGTCCAACCTGCTCTTAAATATCTCCAGGGATGGAGTTTCCACAACCTCCTTCGGCGACTTATTCCAGTGTTTAACCCCCCTGGCAGGAACATTTCCTAATGTCCAACCTAAACCTCCTTTGCTTCAGTTTAAGCCCATTGCTTCTTGTTCTATCCTCAGAGGCTAAGATGAACAAGTTTTCTCCTTCCTCCTTGTAACACCCGTTTAGAGACTTGAAATCCGCTCTCATGTCCCCTCTCAGTCTTCTCTGTTCTAACATAACTTAGCCCAGTTCTTTCAGCCTTTCCTCACAGGTCCTGTTTTCTAGACATGAACCGTTTTTGTCGCTTGTCTCTGGACTTTCTCCAGTTTCTCCACCTTTCCTGCAATGCGGAGCCCAGAACTGGCTACAATATTCCAGCTGAGGCCTAATTAGTGCAGAGTGGGACACGACCTCTCCACGTCACCGGCTCCGATCTAGTTCCTAGGATGGGGATTGGCTGGATTAGGGGGCAGGGAATGGGCCCCGGGGCCGGGCCCCGGGGCCTGCCCCCTCTATGGGGCGCTGGCTCTGATCCTGCCTTACAGAGGCCGGGCGGAAGCCTGGCCCCGTTGCGTCCAGGAATCTCGATTTCCTGTTTGCGTTCTCCACTTCCCATCCTTTGAAAGCCTTTTCCCGGTTGCTGGGCACTTAGCCGTGTTGCCGTGGCAACCGTGGGTCTCCAGGGCAACCCCGGCTCTTCCTCCCTAGGGCTCAGAGGGCCAAATCCCGGCCCTTGAAAAGATGGAAGTTGACGCAGGAGACCCACTGGCTGCGGCCTGTCCGGGGCTGAGATGCAGCCACCTCTGGGGCGGGGCGGCTGGGGAGCAGCTGTGCAGCAAGGGAGGGAGAGCGGGAACGATACTCACACGGCCCCCAGGCGCAGCGGATTTGGGATGGCGTTGGCGGCGCCGCACGCTGAGGCGGGTGCTGGCGCGTGGCCGGGGAATTTGGGGCGTTGGTCCTCTGGGTTCCCAGGCGTTTGGCACGGCCAACGCCAGGCCTTCCCAGTCAGCGCACCTGGCACCGGGCCTGCTCGCCCGCCCCCTCCTCTGGGCCTATAGAGCCGGGTATCCCCCCCCGTGTCAGCGCCTCTCAGAGTTTCTGTTTCCCCCCTCCCCCAAACACCCCTTCCTCAAATCTCAACCCATCACACTTGGCTGCTCGCCCAATGTGCTGGCTGGTGAGGCCCCCTGTTCTGTGGGGGGGTCCATCCCCCTGCAGGGCTCCCCCAGGGAACGAAATCAAGCCCCTTCCTCCGTTCTCACTGTCTAGTTCTTTCCCCTCCTTTGCGTTTCTTCCTCAATCCGTCTTCCCTCTCCAGTCTCTTTTTTTCCCTTCGTACATTCCTTTCCGGTCCTTCCCCTTTCTCTCCTTTTCTTTCCTGTCTCCTTCAGTCTCTTCCTCCGTCTCCTGTTCCTCATTCACTCGATTTTCTCCCTTTCGTTCTCTTTCCTTTCTTCCTCCACCATTCCTTTCTCCGCTTCCTGGCTTCGTTCGTTCTCTTGTGTCTCCCTTCGCGGCTTCCCATTCGATCCTCTGTCTCCTTTTTGTTCCTGTCTCATTCATTTTCTCCTGCTCCTCATCCATTCTTCCCCCCGTTTCTCTTCCCTTTCTTTCTTATCCGTGCTTTCCCTCTCATCTCCTTTTTCATTTCTTCCTCTTTATTCATTTGCATCTTTATTTTCTCCTTCGTTCTTTTCTTTCTCTGCTTTTCTTTCCTTTTTTTGTTCCAGTCTTTCCTGCTCGCTCTCCTGTTTTTCTTCCTTTTTCTCTTACCTTACCTTGGAGGTTTTTTGTGAAATATCTGCGCAGTGCCACATTTTGAAATAAAGCACTGTTTCAACAAACCCCTTACCCATCGTGGAACGAGGGTTGCAGGGATGCCGGAATAGCGTGCCTGTCATTTCGAAATATATTTCGAAATAACGGATACGTTTAAAGATGCGGCGTTGCTATTTTGGGATGCTTCCGATATCCCGAAAGAGCTCCGCTGTCCAGACATACCCTCTCTGTCCCTGTGCCCCAACCTAGCGGTGCTGTCAGCTGTATTGCCCTGCTCCACCTGCAGTTCCATCCTCATCCACCAGGAGGCACTCTGGACCCTCAGTAACCCGCCTCCTTTCCGTTCTCTCTCCAGCCCTCCGTGAGGTTGACGCCCACCACCATGCTGTATTCGGGACGGTCGCAGGACGGAAGCCACCACCTGGTAAGTGGGGGTCAAGCACCCTCTCCCCCCAGCATGCCCCTGTCTGGGAGCGCAAACTCGAACCCCGCTCTACTGGGTGGGAAAAGAGTGTTTATCCCTGTTATACATGCTGGGGAAACTGAGGCACCAGGTGGGGGAGAGGGTCACCGTGTCTTGCAGGGAATTAAGAATAGAACTCAGGCACCCTAGGTCCCAGCTCCTTTGCTGTAACCATCAGCCTGCGCTGCCTCCCAGAGCCGGGGAGAGAACCCAGGAATCCTGGCTCCCCGCCCTCGCTGTAATGGAATTGGCAGGGAGGGGCCGCAGGCAGGTTGGATCCTGCGAAGATGGGGTGGAAGCAGCCTTGAAGATCCCGGCAGATGGTGCCAGCATCTCCTGCGCAGGGCAGGGGCCAGGACATGCCCAGCCAGGGCCTCAGGACTTCTGGGTTCTCGCTGCGGCTCTAGGAGGGGAGCGGAGTCTAGTGAGAGGGCTGCGGGAAGGGAGGGTGTTGGGCAGCTGAGAACCGGCATGCTCGTTGCTCAGTGCAGTCCTTCAGTCTGGGGCCTTTGCTGGCTCTTCTGGGCAGATCAGATCGCCCGGCATGTTACGTCCTGCCTGGTGAAATGAGCTCATGGGATCGTAGCGTCCTCCAGCCCCGTCTCTGCCAGGGGTGAGATGCAGCCACCTCTGGGGTGGGGCGGCTGGGAACAGCCATGTCGTTTTTCTTCAGCGTAAGACAGAAAGTGAAGCAGAATTCAGGCCGGTTGATTACAGGGGGAAGGACAGAATTAGGCACAGGGGTGGGGTCAGCACCTTACCTCTTCAATGTGATTAAATCTAGTGGCTCCCAGCGCTAACCACTAGACTCCACTCCCCTCCCAAAGCTAGGGATGGACCCCAGGAGTCCTGGCCCCCAGCCCCCTGCTCTGCTTGCTGGTCCCCGGTTAATCACGCTGAGTTCTTCCTCCTTTAGAAGAGCGCCCACTACCTGCACCGCGAGCTGCCCGTCCGCATCGCCCATCGCATCAAGGGTTTCCGCAGCCTCCCCTTCAGCACTGGCTGCAACCCCACCATCCTCCACGTGGTATGTCCCGGAGCGGGGCACCCCTGGGGGGCACCCTGTGGGGGGAGGGAGCACGGGGGGAGCTGGGAGTTGCTGTGTGGCTGGGGTTAAAACAGGAGTCCTGGCTCGCCCTGCTCTAACTGTTAGACATGCCCACCCTGAGACAGAACTCAGGAGTCCTGGCTCCCAGCTCCCCTGCTGTAACCACTAGCCCCCACTTCCCTCCCTGAGACAGAACCCAGGAGCTGTGGCTCCTAACTCCTCACGCTCTAACCACTAGCCCCCACTCCCCTTCCTGAGAGAGAACCCAGGAATCCTGGCTCCCAACTCCCCTGCTCTAACCACTAGCTCCCACTCCCTGAGCTGGGGTGAGAACCCAGGAGCTGTGGCTCCTAACTCCTCACGCTCTAACCACTAGCCCCCACTCCCCTCCCTGAGACAGAACCCAGGAATCCTGGCTCCCAACTCCCCTGCTCTAACCACTAGCTCCCACTCCCTGAGCTGGGGTGAGAACCCAGGAGCTGTGGCTCCTAACTCCTCACGCTCTAACCACTAGCTACCACCCCCCTCCCCGAGGTGGAGCGAGAAACCAGGAGCCCTGTGCCCTACCCAGTGAACCCTGCAGCCAATCAGGCTGTCCACGCCTCACTGGGCGCTTACTCGTTTTTCCATCCTTCAGCACGAGCTGTACATCCGAGCCTTCCACATGCTGAGTGAATTCCCCCCGGTGAGTATCCGCGTCCCTGCCGGCCCCACCACACCGCATGCCAGTGACAGTACGGGAACAGGGTACACGTTAGCTTCCCTGTCACCCACTGATCCCGGGCCTGGACCAGTCACACGAAGGGTAAAATATCTGGAGGCCCAGTCAGGCTCCCGCCCGGCTCCCGCCCGGCTCCGTCCCTCCCTGTACACACCATCCATTGCTGTTCGTACCATCTAACTTCCTCAATTGGAGGGCTCCTGAAAATTTGGGGCACTGCTGGGTCTTAATGTCCAACCACCCGCCTCTTCCTACCCCTGCTCTCTGGCTCTGCTTCCTCCGGAGAGGATCTCCTTGACTTAACAGTGACAGAGCTGGCCAGGGCTATGAGCAGACACTGCCCCCGTGAAAGAGCCATTCGAGGGGTAATGAAGCCATCTCCCAGGCAATGACCATGCCCGGATAGATCCTGTCCCTTTCTGAATTGACTCTGTTAGTCTACAGGACCTGAGTTCAAAATTTGCTTTAAAGCTATTTCCTGTGTGTGTTGCTGAAGAATATAAAATCACAGCCCTAAAACAATGCGACCGTTTTCCCCCTCTGCCCTGGGGCTGCCGTCGGGCATAGGAGACCAGTTTAAGGGAGTCCTTGCATCCCTCCATCCATGTAGACACGAGCCATCTAGCTCAACCGAACCCACCCATCTGTCCCTGTACACCCGTCTGTCTGTCTGTCTGGACTGGCGCCATCCCTCCCTGCACCATCCAGCTATCTCGACCAACTCCATTCCTCCATCCATCTTCATGTGCATCCTTGTCTGTCTGCTAGTCTGCCTGTCTGCCTGAGTTTGTACGGTAGTTTCTTTCTTTGGCTATGTCGACACTACCGGGCGGCGTCTAGACTGGCATGATTTTCCGCAAATGCTTTTAACGGAAAAGTTTTCCGTTAAAAGCATTTGCAGAAAAGCGCGTCTAGATTGGCACGGACGCTTTTCCACAAAAGCACTTTGTGCGGAAAAGCGTCCGTGGCCAATCTAGATGCGGTTTTGCGCAAGAAAGCCCCGATCGCCATTTTCGCCATCGGGGCTTTTTGCGCAAAACAATACCGCGTTGTCTACACTGGCCTTCTTGTGCAAAAGCATTTGCGCAAGAGGGCTTTTGCCCGAACGGGAGCAGCAGAGCATTTCCACAAGAAGCACTGATTTCAGACAGTAGGAAGTCAGTGCTCTTGCGGAAATTCAAGCGGCCAGTGTAGACAGCTGGCAAGTTTTTCCGCAAAAGCAGCTGTTTTTCCAGAAAAACTTGCCAGTCTAGACGCAGCTCTGGGTTATTTTGAAATAATAACGCCTGAAATAACTATTTTGCCATAAAGCGTGTTCCTCTTCACAAGCAGGAGTTATTATTTCAAAATAGTACGGACGCTCACCTTGTTATTTTGAAATAAGGGGAGTTCCTTTGAAATGACTCCCCGGTGTAGACTTTGTCTGTCTGTCTGTCTGTCTGTCTGTCTGTCTGTCTTTCTTTCTTTCTTTCTTTCTTTCTTTCTTTCTTTCTTTCTTTCTTTCTTTCTTTCTTTCTTTCTTTCTTTCTTTCTTTCTTTCTTTCTTTCTTTCTTTCTTTCTTTCTTTCTTTCTTTCTTTCTTTCTTTCTTTCTTTCTTTCTTTCTTTCTTTCTTTCTTTCTTTCTTTCTTTCTTTCTTTCTTTCTTTCTTTCTTTCTTTCTTTCTTTCTTTCTTTCTTTCTTTCTTTCTTTCTTTCTTTCTTAATAAATCAACCACAGGTTGGTTGTGTGGTGGAATTAGGGGGTGCCGGCTCTGTGCTGTTTCCAGGGAAGGGGACCAGCTGGCTCAGGGGCATGGGGAAGTGAACATGGGGCCTTTCCCCTCTAGGGGGCGCTGGCTTCTGCCCCGGTTCATGTCCCTTCTGTTCTGCCCCCGCTCCTAGATCAAGGACCAAGAGGCGGAGGCGCATTACTGCAAGCTGGTCCGGCAGCTGCTGGACGATCACAAGGACGTGGTGACGCTGCTGGCCGAGGGGCTGCGGGAGTGTCGGAAACACATCCAGGTAGCGGCGGGCTGGGATTGTGAGAAGGGTTAGAGAGGGGGCAGGGCTGGGAGCCAGGACTCCTGAGTTCTCAACCCAGTTCTGGGAGGGGAGTAGGGGCAAAGGGTTAGAGCAGGCTGAGAGGCAGGACTCCTGGTTCTCTGCCTCGTGCTCTGCACAGCAAGGTTGGTTAAGTCACGACCTCTATTTCTATTTGTGTCATTTTTTCCGCCTGCAAATGAGACACATTCCATCCTTTGTAAACTGAGACTTGCTGACACAGAGCGCTCCCTCCCCGCTTGGAATGATTATAACATGCTGGCTTCATGCTTATTAATTATGATTTATATTTCTCATTTTCCTAGTACTCCTCCCATGTTATTACTGACGACTCAATCACGTCAGTATTTTTGTTGCTATTCCTCCTGCTTCTGTCTAAACCATCCTGATTTCTGTGTTTAATTCATATTTTACTCACTGGTAAATACATACTTTATCCATTATTATTTCCCCTTACGCTGGTTTTTATTATTATCTTGGGCAAATAAGGACTATTTCTGTGTTCTCCCTACTAATAGCACTTATTTCTGAGCCTCAATATTCACCTTTTATTGATTCTTCATGATTTTCTCCTGAATGGTATGAACTCATTAAATCCCATTATACAAATTGCATTTTTATTTCTTTTTAATTATAATAAACATTTTCAGCCACTTAGCCACCCCATTTTAGGAGGGAGGGATCGCTCCGTGGTTTGAGCATTGGCCTGCTAAACCCAGGGTTGTGAGTTCAATCCTTGCAGAGGCCATTTAGGGATTTGGGGCAAAAATTTGTCAGGGATGGTACTTTGTCCTGCTGTGAAGGTAGGAGACTGGACTCGATGATCTTTCAAGGTCCCTTCCAGTTCTAGGAGATAGGCAATCTCCATTAATAATAGCTAAGTCTGAAGTTGGCAGATTTCCATGTTTGTTTGCAGTTTCCAGGGGTAACATCAGTGTTTATTTTTAAGCTTTTTTTAAAATCTATTTATATCTCTGATTCCTGAGTGTTCATGGTGAATGGCCCTTTCTGTCCGAATCAGATGGGAACATTTAGCTTTGGTTCTGTGTGTCATCACGGTGTTAGAACAGTACCTGCATTCTCCACCCGTAGAACTCAAAACCCTTTACAAAGGAAGTCGATATAGAACCATAGAACTGGAAGAGACCTTAGAAGGTCATCAAGTCCAGCCCCTGCTCTAGGCAGGACCAATCCCAACTAAATCAACCCGGCCAGGGCTTTGTTGAGCCGAGACTTAAACACCTCTAGGGATGGAGACTCCACTACTTCCCTAGAGAACCCATTCCAGCGCTTCACCATCCTCCTAGTGAAATAGTTTTTCCTAATATCCAACCTGGACCTCTCCCACCACAACTTGAAACCATTGCTCCTTGTACTGCCATGTGTCACTACTGAGAACAGCCTCTCTCCATCCTCTTTGGAACTCATTTCATAGATGGGGAAACTGAGGCACAAACAGGGAGGTGACTCACCCAACATCACTCTGCAAGTCGGGTCTCTGAATCCAAGCCGGGTGCTCTCTTGCTGCCTCTTTGCTAAGCCATTGTCTGTTAACTCCTTCACTCCCGTGTCAGGACGAGAAAGTCATCCGCTATTTCCTAGACAAGACGCTCACCTCCCGGCTGGGGATCCGGATGCTGGCGATCCATCACCTGGCGCTGCACGAGGAAAAGGTGCGATCGGGTCTCTGCTCCCCTCTTCCCCTCGGCTCCTTGCTTCCCTACAATGGGCAGTGTCCATCACGCAGCCGGCTGCCCCCAGCACAGTGGCGTAGGCCCTCCCGGAAAGTCAGACTGTTTTGTATAACTTCCCTGCTTGGGTCTGGCCCCCATCCTAGGGTGGAGGGGAGAGCTGCCAGTCTCCTGAGATTGTCCTGGAGTTTCCCAGGAATGTCTGATTAATCTGAAATTCAAGATTACATCATGGGATGAAACCTCCAGGAATAAGTCCAGACAAAATTGGCAACCCTGGTAGGGGACTGGCTGGTTCAAAGGGGCGGGGAACGGGGCCTGGGTTAAGGCCCTGCCTAATTGGTCCTCTCTCTCGCTGGCCCCCGCCTCTCCCCGAAGAAAATCATCGAGAAATGGGTGGATTTTGCGAGGTAAGGCTGGAGGGTGCTTGGCCTGCGGCGCCACCTAGTGGCCACAGCCGGGAAGGGCATCCCTTCATTTTCGCCCAGATCCGATTTGAGTGCAGTCAAGGCGAGCGGAGGAAATTTCTTCTTCCTCGACGTCTCGCTTGGCTGGCTCCGGAGGTGACTTCAGAGGGTTGGTTCCCGAATTCCATTCAGTCGGCGGCTGGTGCTGTTGGTTAACCAGTCGCCAGCTGAGATGCGTTTGGAGCAGAGCAAGGGAAAATCATCCCGGAGTTAGGAATGGGCTTTTCAAGGCTAGACAAGTGGCTGCCGTGTGTATCTAGGGATCTCGTCGGCAGACGGCTGGGGTGCTGTTCATTCGGGCTCAGTGGAAGGCGAAAACCTGCCTGTATAACAAGAGTGCAGGTCCTGGTGGATTAGAGGGAGGGTGGGGGTTGGGAGGCAGGACTCCTGGATTCTCTCCCCAGCTCTGGGAAGGGAGTGGGGTCTAGTGGTTAGAGCAGGGAGGGCCAGGAGCCAGGACTCCTGGGTTCTCTCCCCAGCTCTGGGAAGGGAGTGGGGTCTAGTGGTTAGAGCAGGAACCTGCCTGTATAACAAGAGTGCAGGTCCTGGTGGATTAGAGGGAGGGTGGGGGTTGGGAGGCAGGACTCCTGGATTCTCTCCCCAGCTCTGGGAAGGGAGTGGGGTCTAGTGGTTAGAGCAGGGAGGGCCAGGAGCCAGGACTCCTGGGTTCTCTCCCCAGCTCTGGGAAGGGAGTGGGGTCTAGTGGTTAGAGCAGGGAGGGCCAGGAGCCAGGACTCCTGGGTTCTCTCCCCAGCTCTGGGAAGGGAGTGGGGTCTAGTGGTTAGAGCAGGGAGGGCCAGGAGCCAGGACTCCTGGGTTCTCTCCCCAGCTCTGGGAAGGGAGTGGGGTCTAGTGGTTAGAGCAGGGAGGGCCAGGAGCCAGGACTCCTGGGTTCTCTCCCCAGCTCTGGGAAGGGAGTGGGGTCTAGTGGTTAGAGCAGGGAGGGCCAGGAGCCAGGACTCCTGGGTTCTCTCCCCAGCTCTGGGAAGGGAGTGGGGTCTAGTGGTTAGAGCAGGGAGGGCCAGGAGCCAGGACTCCTGGGTTCTCTCCCCAGCTCTGGGAAGGGAGTGGGGTCTAGTGGTTAGAGCAGGGAGGGCCAGGAGCCAGGACTCCTGGGTTCTCTCCCCAGCTCTGGGAAGGGAGTGGGGTCTAGTGGTTAGAGCAGGGAGAGCCAGGAGCCAGGACTCCTGGGTTCTCGCCCCAGCTCTGGGAGAAGAGTTGGGGGCTAGTGGGGTAGCATGGAGGGAACTGGAATCAGGACTGGTCTCATGGGTTGAGCGGCTGACCCAGCCTGGCTGATGCCCTGTTCCTCCCCAACTTCTCCCGGCGCAGGCGCCTGTGTGAGCACAAGTATGGGAACGCCCCGCGGGTGCGGATCAACGGGCACGTGGCCGCTCGCTTCCCCTTCATCCCCATGCCCCTCGACTACATCCTGCCGGAGCTGCTCAAGAACGCCATGAGGTGAGTTCCCCTGTCTACACCGGGCATGGCGATGGGGCTGGGACGTGGGGCCTGTCCCCTCTAGGGGGTGCCAGCTGTGAGCCGGGCCCAGGGCGGGGAATGTGACACGGGGCCTTTCCCCTCTAGGGGGCGCCAGCTCTGAGCCGGGCCCGGGGCAGGGAATGGGACATGGGGCCTGACCCCTCTAGGGGGCGCCAGCTCTGAGCCAGGGCAGGGAATGGGACACGGGGCCTGTCCCCTCTAGGTGGCGCCAGCTCTGACCCAGGGCAGGGAATGGGGCATAGGGCCTGGCCTCTCTAGGGGGCTCCAGATCTGAGCCGGGGCAGGGAATGGGGCATAGGGCCTGTCCCCTCTAGGTGGCGCCAGCTCTGAGCCGGGCCCGGGGCAGGGAATGGGAGACGGGGCCTGTCCCCTCTAGGGGGCGCCAGCTCTGAGCCGGGCCAGGGAAAGGGACTGGGAGACGGTCCACTCCGGGGGGCGGTAGGTGGATAGAGGGTGGGGCCTGATTTTAGGCTACATTTTTCACTCTCTCCAGAGCCACCATGGAATCCCATCTGGACACTCCCTACAACGTACCCGACATTGTCATCACCATCGCCAACAACGACATCGACCTGATCATCAGGTGCCGTGCGCGCCGGCTCAGGCTGGAGTTTCCCCCCTCCCCCAGCGTCGGGGGGGCCTCCAGGGGCGCTGAAGGACGGGCTGAAATTAAGAAGGGGGGAAGTCTGGGGGTCCACGTCCGCCAGGAAGGGTGGAAGGGGGGTGAGGCGGTTTGTTGGCTGCACTGTTCTGAATGGATCCTGTTGCCCCGGTAGGATTTCGGACCGGGGCGGCGGGATTCCGCACGAACACCTGGAGAAGGTGATGGATTATCACTTCACCACGGCGGAGTCCAGCACCCAGGACCCCCGCATGAACACCCTCTTTGGGAACATGGTGGACATGGTCAACAGCGGCCAGGCGGGCCCCATGCACGGGTGAGTCTGGCGCTTGGAGCCGCAGTGAGGCCAGCTCCGCGGTGGCCTTCCCAGCATCCTCGACTAACGGGGCTTCCTGGGCAGGTCCTGAGCCCGGATCTGCTCAGCTGGGCAGGAACCGATTTTCCCCCGAGAGTTTGAAGAGATTCACCGACTGCAAATCGAAATCCAGACAACGCCCGCGTATCGAAAAACCGATTTCCCCTCCCACCTCCCGACCCATTCGGATCCGTTGAAACGTTTAGATCTTAGGCAAAACTTTCTGATATTCCGGCGCGTTCAGCCCTAGAACTGTAGAATCCACAATATTGGAGATTTTGAAGAACGGGTCGGATGAATCCTTGTCAGGTTTATTTTGCCCCACCTCAGCGCAGGGGCTGGACTTGAGGTCTCATCCGTCCAGGCCCTTCTGTGATTTTAAGTACCTACAAGGGTGCTACAAGGAAGAGGGAGAGCAAATTGACCTCTGAGGACAGGACGAGAAGCAAGGGGCTTAAATTGCAACAAAGGACGTTTAGGTCGAACATTAGGAAAAAATTCCTACCTGTCAGGGTGGTGAAGCACTGGAATAAATTGCCCAGGGAGGTTGTGGAATCTCCACTCCTGGAGATATTTAAGAGCAGGTTGGACAGACACCTGTCAGGGATGGTCTAGACGGTGCTTGGTCCTGCCATGAGGGCAGGGGGCTGGACTTGATGACCTGCCGAGGTCCCTTCCAGTTCTGTGATTCAACCTGTTTTCATCAGCTGTGGAAAATGAGAACTTTGTTGTCTTGAAAATGGCAAAACATATTTTCAGTTCCAAATATGTTTCCCCCACTTCTTTGGAGTCGGGAGGTTTGCTGAAACCATTTTTATTGTGCGTGTGGCTTTGACAAAAGGCCGTTTCTCGACAAACAAGCCGAGTCGTCGATAGGGATGTAATCGTGTAGTTGATTAACCGATTAGGAAAGCGTATAGGTTAATGCTATCGATTGTCTCCCCTTGCAGACCAGCTCCCGCCTGGCACCCCACGCTGCTGCCTCTGATACAGAGGCAGCAGCGTGGAGTGGCAGGAGTCTCCTTCGGGGTGAGGCCGGAGCACACTGGCGTCCAGCCCCACCCCCGCGGACTATAAAATAGTCGACTAAAGGATAAGATTTCATGAGTTTAATGGACTGTTCAGTTAACCGATATTTAACATCCCTCGCCGTCAAACAGCTCCCCCGCCGCTCTCTGTTCCAAAACCAGAAGTCTCTGCTCCCAGGCCTGGCTAAACGAGATGGATTTGAGCTGAGCAGTCAATAGTGAATGATGCGGCTGAGTTCCTGAGCACTCCAAAGCGCTTTCCGAAGGCAGACCAACAGGCATCGGTTCCCCCCTTTTTACAGGTGGAGACACGGAGCCTTTTTGCAAAACCAGAACCCATCAATCCTGACTCCCCGTCCAGGATCACAGCATAGCATCTCGGTGTTGGTTGTTTACAATATGTTGTGTATGCTACTATTCTATTACGTGTATTACGGTAGCACCTAGGCACTCCAATCATGCCTATTGTGCTCAGTGCTGTATGTTCTTAGGTGTATTACGGTAACGTTTGGTCGTGGCCCAGGACTCGTGCGCAGTGCTGTGTTATTAGGTGTATTACGGTAGTGCTTGGAAGCCCCAATCCCTGGCCTGTGGACCATTGTGCATGGTGCTGTACGTTATTTATAAGGTGTATTATGGTAACCCATGTGATTATCCGCCCGTCTGTCTGTCCCTGCTGCAGGTTCGGCTTTGGGCTGCCGACTTCTCGTGCCTACGCCGAGTACCTGGGGGGCTCGCTGCACATCCAGTCCCTGCAGGGTATCGGTACCGATGTTTATCTCCGGCTGAAACACATCGATGGCAAGGAGGAGAGTTTCCGCATCTAGAGACACCCCTTTGCCGGCCCGCGGCCTCTCCAGTTCCGCGTGGACTTCGGCTTTGCTTCCCGTGACTCTGTGCTTGGATACCGACGAACCCGATCCCGCGGCCCCGGGCGCCTGGGTTCCCAGCATCTCCCAAAGGGGCCGGAGCTCTGTGCTTACGGACAGGACGTCGCCTCCTGCTGGTTATTCCGATTCCGCCCCAGGAGCACCCTAATGGATGCAGTATTCTGCGGGGGCGGAGCATGGGTCGGCCCCGCCCCCAAACTGGTTTTTAAGGCAACGGACACTTCCCGTGTGCGTCCCTTCATTGATACTGCCAGCGCCTTGTGCGCTCATTTTTTCACCCTTGTTGCATTCCCTTCTTCTGAGGAAACCAAATGGAAGCACAGCATTGGAGGAGGGGGAAGACTTTTATTGCTGCGCATGGCCCCAGAATCTCTCTCTCACACGTATCTCTCCAGTCCCTCCCCCCACGCACACCTTGGGCAGGAAGACATTTATGGTTGCGCACGGACGCTGAATTCCTCACCCACCCACAGAGATGCTAATTTTAGCCTTTTCCATTTTTTTGCTTTCTCATTTATGGGGGAGGACAAGATGTGGATTTGACTCCTCCCCTTCGGGGTGACTGGGGGAGCCAGCCCCTTGACGTGTATCCCACTATGATTCCAATTAAAGGTGCCGATTCGGAAAGGGAGCTCGGCCATGTGACTCTGTGCGGGAGGGGGTAGGGTGGAGCAGTGGTTCCTTGCTGATCAGTCTAGAAGGTACCGTTGGGATCATCTCAGCAGATGTAGGCCGTACGACGTCTGCAAAACGACTCCTGTGTGAAGTCGAGCAGATCTGTTAGGAAAACATCCAATCCTGGTACAAACATTGTTGCGATGGGGAATTCACCACGACCCTTGGGCAGTCGTTCCAGCTGTTAATTCTTGTTGCGATGGGGAATTCACCACGACCCTTGGGCAGTTGTTCCAGCTGTTAATTCTCACTGGAATAAATTGCCCAGGGAGGTTGTGGAATCCCCATCTCTGGAGATATTTAAGAGTAGGTTAGATAAATGTCCATCAGGGATGGTCTAGACAGTATTTGGTTCTGCCGTGAGGGCAGGGGACTGAACTCAATGACTCTCGAGGTCCCTTCCAGTCCTAGTAGTTTATGATTCTATTCTATGATTCTATGAATTCTTCTCAGTGTTAAAACTTTGTCCTGTATTTCTCGTCTGAATTTGTCTAGTTTCAACCTCCAGCCATTGGATCACGTTAGACAGGTCTGATAGTATTGTCAAATATTTATTCCCCTCGGAGATACTTAGAGCCTGGGATTAAGTTACCCTCCTGTGCCCTCCCCTTCGTTAAGCTAAATGGACTGAGCTCCTTAAGTCTATCATGGTAAGGCAGGTTTCTTAATCCTTCACGCCTTCTCCTGGGTCTTCTCTACCCTCTTCCATTGCTCCACGTCCTTCTTGGGTTGGGCGTTGACTGATCCCAGGATTCCAGCAGCGATCACAGCAGGGCCAGATCCTGAGTTGAGTCTGGGGGTTTTCATCTCCTTTTCGCTTGCAGACCCCTTTGGAAATGGGGGAGAGAACTTGATCACAGTCTAGGTAGCGACATGTGGAAGAGATATTTCCTAATGGGATGTTCAGTCGCGCAGAGAAGGGCCCTAGCACGCTCCAGTGGCGAGAAGTTGAAGCTAGACAATTCAGCCTGGAAAAAAGGGGTAGATTGTCAGGTAGGATGTTGGAACGACTTGCCCAGGGGTCCTGGTGGATTCTCTGTCTCTGGCAATGTTGAAATCGAGGTTGGATGTTTTGCCAAGAGGTCTGCCCTAGGGATAATATCAGGGCGGGTCTCTGGTCTGGGTGAGAGAGGGGGTCTGACTAGGTGTGCCCAGGGGACCCCTCTGGCTTGATATTGGAGACCTGCGAAAGGCCGGGCGCGATGGGCACTGGGCGCTTTGGGAATGGCAGGGCAGCTCATCCTCTGTGCGAGGATGTTGAAGAATTGGGGGAAAAGTGGGGTGTGACACACACGGAGCTTGCCGTGTAGCTCTGTCCTCTCGGTGAAGGAGCCAGTCTGGTTGCTCCAGGGTGTAGCAGCAAGGAAATGCTCAGGGGAGGAATTTACCCTTTCTCGGCCACCAAGGAGGGCTAGAGACGTCCTCGCTTCAAGAGGAAACAAGACCAGAGGTTCTCTTCTGTTCAAGTGACAGTATTTGGTGTTGTCTTGGATGTTCTTACGCTCCCCCCGTTAGATATGACATTGGTTCCCCCAGTCTTCGTCTTGTAGCTGCCGGAAGTAAACTCTGGGGCTGTGTCTACACTGGCCTCCCTAGCACTTTGGAATAGGCAAATCCGCAGGGGATTTAAATATCCCCCGCGGTATTTGCATTAACATGGCTGCCGCTTTTCTCCGGCTTGGAGATAAGCTGGAGAAAAGTGCCAGTCTAGACGTGATTCTCCAGAAAATAAAGCCTTTTCCGGAGGATCCTCTTTCAAGTAGGAATAAGAGATCCTCCGGAAAAGGCTTTATTTTCCAGAGAATCACGTCTGGACTGGCGCTTTTCTCCGGCTTATCTCCAAGCCGGAAAAAAGCGGCAGCCATGTTAATGCAAATACCGCGGGGGATATTTAAATCCCCTGCGGATTTGCCTATTCCAAAGTGCTACATTAGCATCCCTTTTCCGGAAAGGAGGCCAGTGTAGACACAGCCTGGGTGTGTAACATCAGAACAGCCAGACTGGGTCAGACCAAAGGTTCATCTAACCCAGTGTCCTGTCTGCCGACAGTGGCCAAAGCCAGGTGCTCTACAATGAGGGAATAGAACAGGAAATTATCCAATGAACCCAGACACCCATTCCTAGCTTCTGATCAACAAAGGTTAGGGACATCTTCCCAGCCTAGCCCGGCTGTTGACGGACCCGTCCTCCATGAATTTACTAGCTCTTTTTTTGAACCCGGTTGTAGTTTTGTGCGTGTCCATCCATCCCAGTTCTGTGGGTGTTGATACCTCAGTCCCCTTTCTGCGCCCTCTGAGTTCACACTAATGGGGTCAGGTCTCACGCCCTCGCCCATTTCTGGGTCATTTGCAATTCCCCCACTCGTTGATTGGTAATCTGGGAACAGCATCCTGACCATGCCGATTGCTTATGACTGTGCCACTCCCACCAGACCCTGCATCTCTTCCCTTCTCACGCCCCCGGTCAGTGCTCTCCAAAGACCAAACAGCCTCCTGAAAACAAAGGGCTCATCTGGACGATGGGGAACGGTCGAAAGAAGGTATGGAAATTCCACGGGAATTTGCATAGCTTCTTCAGATCTCACTTTCGAAAGCAGAGCTTTCGAAAGTGCAAGTAGTTAAGACGCAGCTTTTTCGGCAATCCCCCCCTTTTTCGAAAAGCCCCGTAAACCACCCTTTTTGAGGAAGAGAGGCTTTTCCATACGGG